CTTTGTGAGACGTTAATCTGAGCTGATTTACCTCCAATTTACATCAAAGTGTAACAGTTCATAAGAACATGAGCAGCACACGAGCAGCACACGAGCAGGTGTCACTCTCCATGTTAACCAGTCTGACAGTCCACTCCAGCAGTGACATACACGAGTCCAGTGGATGTCATTACTCTGCTCAACATAGGTTGGAGTTCTGATTTTGCAGTGTCAGTGGAGAGTCTCCAGATTTTATCAGGGGAAAAACATGAAATAAACATGTGGTGTCAAAATAAACTTCTGATGTCCTTCCAAAATATATTTTGTAAAACCACTACAGTGGTGTAAACACCGTGCGTCACATCGGGAGCTCAGGGGAATGACACTTTTTCAATGAGTTTTTCTCAACTTTTAGCTGAAAATCAAACTCCTAAACAGAACTATGAACGACTGATCAGACTCCTGAAAATGTTAAATCACTTTTGTATTTTGTTCTTGAGTTTGTAGACTATCTTAAAACTTTTTTGGCTGTGTCGTCATGGTAACTGCTGAACATTCCACCATACACATACATGAAGAACACCCCCAGGATGATGTCACCACAAAGTATCAATACAAATATCTGTAGTTATGCAAAAGATACACAAGAAAAAGTGAAGTGTTAAAACTGACTCTCAAAGAATCACTTTTAAAATCAAGAGTTATATTAACATTTTGAGAGTAAACGGATAACACTTTGTAGAGTTATCCTGACTTAACTAAACAACACAAAGAGGTGTTTTATTTTTACACCTTATTTTAGTTAATTTAAGATGAAATTATGTGCAAAACTGATTCAAACTGGTCTTCTCTTGCGGGAGTTTGAAGTAGTGGTGGGACGTGCCAAATTAACACTGAGGGAAGTTGAATTCACACTAGTCAAAGTTGAATTAACACCAGCTGAAGTTGGATGAACAAAAGGGGAAGCTGAATTATCTTCAACCATATCAACTGTGGCAAATAACCCCAACTCCAATCCCCATTTAACTTTCAAATAGTTAAAATAACACTTTTTGTGTTAAAAACAACTCTGAAATATTTTACCCTGAAATTTTAACTCTCTATTGTTTACTCTGTGGATAGACACATTTAATGAAGTGGAATATTTCAGGTGAAGCATTAGTATGTCCATTAAAAGTGACATGGAGCACCCACTGTTTGTTTTTGTGATACTTTGGCTTCATAATACAAAATATGTATATACATATTTAAAGAAATACATTTTTAATAAATATTTGAACAAATGTGAAACATGAAAAACATTTGAAATACTGAAAACTTTTATATTTGTGTTTAATTATTTAGTTTTTTCCACATGCGTCTATTTATAATGTGTTTTGCCCTATTTTAGAGATTGGATTACAACACACACACACACACGCACACACACACGCACACACGCACACATGAATGAGCCTCCCTGTTATTTGTGAATGAATGTGAGCGCCCCCTAGTGCCGCACACACACACACACACACGAGCGCTCAGAAAAGACCAGATGGTGTAATCCCTCTGCTTTTCTCTCATATTTTCCGTGTTGGGATTACGCTGGCCGACCAATCGGATTTAGGGCCCAGAGAGAGGCAGATGACAGAGAGAGAGGGAGAAAGAGGGAGGAGGAGAAAGAGAGGGAAAGAGGGATGAGGGGATAGGAGAGTAGGAGAGGACGTAGTTTGGTTTTGGACAGGAGTGTTTCGGTTTGTTCCTCTGAAGTCTGACCCCTGCACATGATCAGGTAAGAGACAGAGGGATGAGATGGAGGGATGAAGGAGAGATGGGGGAGAGATGTATTGTATTTAGACAACCTGTGTAATTGTGTTAGAGAGGCCTGGTCAGAAGATCTTGACATAACCATAACAGAAGACAAATGGAAAGATGCTCTTGCAAATATCTGAAACTGTTCCATCACTTCCAGATACAGATTCATTCAGTTTTAGGTGATTCATAGATTCCAAAGTTACACTAAACAAAATCTTTCCATCTGTATCAGCAGTGTGTGATCATTGTAACACATCTCATGGCTCTTTAGGTCGTCTGTTTTGGTTCTGTCTGGTGTTATTAAAATTTTGAGCTGATATATTCCCCTGGTTCTGTGACAAATACAAAGTTCAGGCCGCCTCTTGTATTAGGATTGGGATGGTTGCATCAGTTAAACTTATACTTCGGGACTGAAAATCATCAACTTTGGTGGCCAAGCTGGAATCAGTTCCCACTCTTTTAACTGACAACATTTCAAAACTTTTCCATGACTTTTTCATGAGCTAAAGTGAATTTTCCATGACTTTACAGCACCTACATGTGTAGAATTGATCAGACTTTAGATCTAAATATGAAATGTGAAATCTTTCCACTCACCTTATGGTTTGGGATTATACTTTTTGAACATTCAAAATCCTCTCAGTGCATTTATTGTCGTCTCTTTTAATCAAAAGGCGCAAACGTTCAGAAATGTATTTATTTATTTAATGAGACAGGAACAGTGCACAATTTACATGAACCTTAACAGGAGAGATGCTTGTATCAGGTTGTAGCACGAGTGATCATTTCCACCTGTCGTCCCTGGACAGGTTCATTGATTGATTGTATTTAACTGACCTTGACTGTCAACTGTTCTGGAGACCTGGAGCATGTTTTGGGTTAGAAATAATCAGAACAGCCTAATGACAACTTAACAGAACGCTGGAGTTGTGTGAAAGAGATACTAAAATAAAATTACTTTTCCAGGCTTTGGAAAATTATATTTTCAATTTCCATGACTTTTTCAAGATTTCCATGACTGTGAGAACCCTGTGGAATATATATATATAACGTATATATATATATATATATATATATATATATATATATATATATATATATATATATATATATATATATATATACGTTATGAACAAAATCATGCACTGGAATAGTATTTCAAAATCTGGTCCCCATTTTTGAGTTTATTAAGGTAAATAGAGTAATTACACAGTGTAGTGGTGGTTTTCAGATTGTGGAATGTGGTTTATGAGATAGAAGAGAGAGGAAAAGTCATGTTTTCTCAGGTTTTGTTCTGAAATGTTGTAGATACTGATTTAACAGGAATATGAAAAACATTATCACACTTTACCAGTGCCGGAGTTTGGGTTTGGGGTCTGGTCAGTACTGGGATGGGAGACCAGTGGGGAAAAGCGCCAGTCTAGTGCAAACTGTCATTGTATCCTTGGGCAACACACTTGACCCACATTACCTAGTCTGAGTGCAGTGTGTGTGTGAGTGGTGGTGGTGAGTCGTTCCCTGGGGCAGCTGTGGCTACAGTAGTCCATCAAGTGTGTAAAGCGTGCCTGAAAAAAGCAACAACAACAAAAAGTGGTGCATTTTATATTATTATGTCAATTCTTAATCCCACAGTTACTTTTGTAAATATATTAGAATTTACTTTAATATTTAATATTTACAACTTTTAATATTTAAGTACAAACGACTAGTTAGAGAGTGAGAAATGTATTTTTGTTATGAGAAGAAAACTTTTTTTTTTTTTTTTTTTTTTTCCAAGAGATTATACAATCTGAGTGATCTTCATAATCCCAAAGCAGAGATCAGGACCCTCCCACCCTGACACATGACCTGTTACTGAATGAGTTTAAACCAAGAGCGTAGAAGTCTTCTGAAAATATCTGATTATATCTGATTTATATGATTATTTATAATACATGCAAAAAGTCTAGCTCAAGAAAAAGTGTATTTTTAAAGGTGCACTATGTTTAACTTCTCTAGACCTCTACTTGTGTCTATTATGTTATTGTTTCGCATGAACATGAACTTTAACGGCCCATATTATGATGTTTTATAACACTGTTTTGTCATCACAAACACCTGGAGTTGTGTTTTGTTTTATTCACACATGAAAACTGTTTGAGAGAAGAACTTTTTTAAACTCCATGCACTTTGATTTGGATGATTTCAGCCCTGGAATTGCCAATCTCTACTGAACGAAAGGTAAAAGGAGCTGTTCACTAACATGAAATCAACAGCTTCATGACATCACAAGGTGGAACAGAGCATTTTGAGCTTTGGAGATGTAGACATAGTAATAATAAAGAGTTACTCAAACATGTGTGATTGAAACAAAACACAACTCCAGGTCTGTTTTTGAGGGAATAACATTATAACAAGGCTTAAAGTTAATTTAGTGTAACATTTCTGATTCTGCAGTTTCCCTCCACATACACAGAGTACTACTGTATAAATACTGTATTATCTGTGAGTGTGTGGTCTCTGTGTGGTTCTTGGGTGATACAGATTGTGTGTGTGTTCTGTCACAGCCCACCTGCTTCACATGTGTCTGATCTCACAGCGGCTCAGCTCTGTTCATGAGCTGATTACACACTGCACATTTCCCCAGCAGAGGGAGGGACGGGTTTAATGAGGCCTAATGAACAGTTTTCCAGTGAATCTGACAGTTTACACACTTACAAGTTTCTGTTCTTTATTGTGGTATTATGAGTAAATGTGTTTCAGAGTGATAGAAAAGTAGCTCAGTTATAATTCCAAACATAATCTTTGGAATGGTGAAAAGTGCTCACACATAAACTGAAGGCAGTCATTTGTTTGGTTCTATATGTCTGAATTTAAAGGTGCATTGTGTAACTTTTCTGTTGGGGATCCCTCAAATGCTTCTCTCCATGGAGATGTTAGTACTTTGTCTGGAATGTTTCACAGTATGGCATTAAATCTATCTTCATGAGTTATAAAAACACACAAAATGTAAGGTAGAGCTGTTTAAAGTCATACTGTGGAACATTCCAGGCAGAGCAATCACATCCTCCAAAGCAAAAGTTACACAGTGAACCTTTAAGCATGTTATATTTTATCAACCTGCTGTCGAAATGAGGTGAATATTGAGTGTACGACTACTACTACTTGTACTACTACTACTACTGATGAACCTGTAAATATCCTGTTCTGATGTCTCTCTGTGTGCTCTGTGCTGCCCCCTGCAGGTGAGTGCTTCCTGTGCATGGTGGACGTGGTGCCGGTGAAGAATGAGGATGGCGTGGTCATCATGTTCATCCTGAACTTTGAGGTGATGACAGAAGAGAGTCTGATCGACGAACGCGCCGAGCTCAACCACCGTCTGCCCACCTGGCTCGTCACCGGTGAGACTATACATACAAGAGTACTTATACTGCAGTACTTATACCACATTATACCACCATACCACCTCCTGCCCACCTGACTCATCACCAGTGAGAACAACATGTACAGTACACATACAGTATACTATATCACATTATACCACTGCCTGCCCAGCTGGCTGCTCACAGGTAAGAACTATACATACTATGGTATATTATACCACATATACACATTATACTGCCCACTGCTGCGCCCTGCATACACAGTGTACATACAGAAGAGTATACTTTATGTAGAAGGGGCTCAGGAAGAGCATTAATTATACTGATGATCACACCCACACACTACAGAGGTGTGGGAATTTAACTCATAAACACAACTTAGAAATATAATTTCCATAGACGTTATGGCAAAGGTGTTAAGTATCTAATTACATACACAAGTACTACACAAGTGTAACTGAGTAGATTTTGAAACATGTACTTGTACTAGTATAATTCTGCTCATGTACTAAGCAACATTTAAACTTGTTTGAGTCAGTGAGAACACACAGTCCCAGTCGTCCAGTGTTTCCTCCTCTGTGGAACTGTTCCAGAGCAGTCACAGTAGTTCAGAGTTTGTATGATGTCATATGTTATAGTATGATGTCATATAAATATCAGAAAACCAGCTCTAGTCAGATCAATAATCAGGGTTACAATATCTATGTATTTAACTTTCACTTCACTCCACTGTCCTCTTTGTGTGTCCACATGTTAGTTCTGTCTCCACTGTCCTCTGTCCACATGTTGTTATTCTGACAGTTTGACAGTCAGCTCGTGTAGTTCTTCTCAGGGGTCTTGGACGTCTCTTCATCAGACTTGGAAGACCAGATTTTGGCTGTTCTTGTAATAACATAAAAGTCAAGAATGAAAGTCAAGGACAATTTAGTTTAGAATTTTCCGAATGCAAATCTCTTTAGTGTGTGTGACCAGATTTTGTGTCTTCGGTGAGTATTATTTTGAAAAAGGACCACATTGTTTTAGAGTAAATATGTCACATAGTTACTTATATATACACTACTGGTCAAAAGTGTTAGAACATCCTAATTTTTCCAGTTATTTATTGCAATTCAAATCGTGCAAATCCAGTGAAGAACTTAAAATGGTACAAAGGTAAAAACTTAACAGACAGAGGTTACAAAAAAAGATGAAAGAACAAAACACAAGTCCGAGTGCTGCCAAAACGACCTCAGGAAAAAAGAACAAGATGGTAAAGCTTAAAACCTGGAGTGTCCAGCAGCAGCACAGTGTCCAGACTTAAACCTCATGGAGCTGGTTTGGATGAACTGGACAGAAGAGTGAAGCAACCTACAAGTGCCACACATTTATGGAAACTTCTGCGACAGACTTGGGAAGAAATTTCTCAACAATATTTGATTTCTGTTGTAAAAAGAACGAGTCACGAGTGTGTTCAGCTGTTCTATCTGCCAAAGATGCACACTTTCATCAAACAAAAGTTTAGAATATGTTTTGGTCAACAGGAAACAGTAAAAAACTGGGAAAAGTGTGGTGCTCTAAAACTTTTGACTGGTAGTGTATTTACATTGTTGAGGAGTAACAGATTACATGTACCAGAGTTACTTAATCAGAGTACAAATTATGAGTAACTGTATTCAGTTACAGTTACTGTTTCAGTGAGTGGTAATTGGATTACAGTTACTTTGTTGAAATAAATGGATTACACAGTGGTATTTTCCTGTTTTCACATTTTGGGCTAAATCCCTTTTTTTTTTCTTTTTTTTTTTTCGGTAATTCCACTCATTGCTGGAAACTAAACCAGGTCTAAACTAGATCTAAACCAGGACTAAACCAGGACTAAAACCAGGTCTAAACCAGGATTAAAACCAGGACTAAAACCAGGACTAAACCAGGATTAAAACCAGGACTAAAACCAGGACTAAACCAGGACTAAACCAGGACTAAAACCAGGACTAAACCAGGTCTAAACCAGGACTAAAACAGGACTAAACCAGGACTAAAACCAGGACTAAACCAGGTCTAAACCAGGACTAAACCAGGTCTAAACCAGGACTAAAACAGGACTAAACCAGGACTAAAACCAGGACTAAACCAGGTCTAAACCAGGACTAAACCAGGACTAATCAGGATTTAACAGGACTAAATCATGCTGTGTGGACGTGTCTCCTCGTCTTCTATCAATAATATTTTGAATTTGGTTCAGTAAAGTTTGGGCTTTTTATTTTCTTTTATCAGACAAAACATCTTATGTTACAATTTCCTCGTCTTTGTTTCTCTACAGCAAATCAAGTAATCCAAAGTATTCAGATTACGTTACTCACTTTAAGTAATTTAATGGATTCCATTACAAACTACATTTTGGTGTGTGTATTGTGTAAAGTAAACTTCCCAACACTGTGTATTTATGATAATACAACAAGCAAAAAGTGTGATTTTAATACGACTGTGTACCTCAGTTGGAGAGGGCACCATAGATTGTATAAAATATAAGAGGGTTAATACGAATTTTTCCAACCAAAATGACACAGCTCACAATATTCCAACATCAGTGGGATCCAGGATCAGTAGGAGCCGGAAACGCCGTATGCAAACCTCCTATTTGGAACGAGGCGGCTCATTTGAATAGACCAACTAAACAAATGTCCCTGTGTACTTATGTCCTTATCCTGTTTCCTCCTCCTCAGGTCGTCCCCGGGGTTTTAAGCTGCGCCTGCCTCTGCTGCGCTCTCTGTCCAACAGTAAGATGTCCCTGAACGACGCTGAGGTGGGACACATCCCCACGGCCACCCCCCTGCCCCTGCACACCGAGCCCTGCCACGAGTCACTGGGCCTGGGGGAGTTTCTGTCTCTGCCCCCCATCCCTCCAGAGCAGCAGGACCACACCACGGCTAACAGGTACGACACCATGAAGCAGACTTATCATGCAAAATCAACTTTTAATCATGTTATAATTCTCACTAGGGATGGGCATTCGATGAAATTTTCTTAATCGATCGTCGGAAGAATTAACGATCGATTATCGATTAATCATTAACATTTTTATATTAAAATTATCATAATTATTATTACTATCTGCACTACTAATCTGCATAAATAAATTCAACTTTACGACATTTAAACCTGTAACGACTCTAGAGCCACATCAGCCCGTTTGACATTATAATGTGTTTAATTCAGTTTTGTTCAAATCTCACAGAAACAAAACTTAAAACCACATCACTAATTTGCATAAACTAAGTGAAGATAAAACTACAGCTCTTGTGTCGCTGATGCGGTCAATTTCTGTCGGATTAAAAGACATGACTCAGGTGAATACAGGTTAGTGTGACCAGATTTGTGTTTGTCAAAACCAGGACAGCGTACGGGGGGAGGGGGGTGGGGACTCGTCATCCACATTGAGCGACTCTCACCTGACAAAACTTTTTCCCACTGGACACTGAAACATATGTGCTGCTTTGTGCACATGGACTCACACGTGTCCCGGACGCAACAGAAAGTGTGGAATTTCTTGTACAAATCATCGTTAAATCCACATTTGTGCTTCGGTACGTTGCAGACTGACTGAATGTTTCTGTTTGTGTCTCGCTCCTTCTGATGCAGAGACACATGTACACACCTGTTTGGTCACACTACACACAGCAACCTACATTCGGTTTGTCTATTAAAATTAACGTAATCGGTGAAACTCTTAATGATCAATTATCGATTAATTGACTAATCATGCCCATCCCTAATTCTCACTATTCGCTCTTTTCACGCTTACATCACAAACCAGGATGATGTTTGGAAAAATGCAATTACAACTTCTGGTGGGCTCTGTTCTAGGAAAAATGAGAACATGTCGCAGTTTTCTTCATCTCCATGTCACTGTCGTGTTCCGTTATGTTCAGTTAATCAACAATTCCAACCACACCTCAGTTTTCATCATTTCCCCACTGACACACAACTCTGAGTGCACTGGTACATGTGATTAGAAGAGATGAGGGACAAATTCCAGATGATTCCAAACAGCACATACGTCTGCAGTCTTCATTTTACCACTGATCACATTTACTTCAGTGGGTTTGATCACAGTCGGTCGGTGAGTTCAGTGTCATGATCTACACCGGAAGTTGTAATTGCATCTTTCCAAAAGTGTTCCTCGTTTGTGACGTAAGCATGAATAGACACTATTTACTAACCTGAAGTTGTATTTGGAGTGATTCGTGCATGTTTGAGTCATCTTTAATCACGCAGTTTAGACTAGTGCTGTCAAGAAATAAAAAAAATTGAGAGATTAATTAATTATGATCTGTAATTAATTAATCTCACCTAAAAATTGCTGAGAAAAGCTTCAACTTTGAGGTATTTTTCATTTAAATTCATTCTTACATTTTTGTGGCAGATCAAAAGACTGATACAGAACAAAAAAAGGGACTTTATAAAGTCATTTATTGTTTAACAAACTTTAACAGTTGCAGTCACTTACATTCCACAGTATTATCATTATTATTACTATGACTAATCTGCATAAATAAACTTCTTCTTCTGGTTTACTTTAACATAGACCAAACATGTCAAACTCAGGCCTGGGGGCTAAGTTTGGAACACAATATAATTATATTTGGCACACCCATCAAAATGAGATCAAATGTGTATCAGAGCTGCCCACTGGCTACAGATAGAGACATTATTACAGCCTACAGAGACATTATTTATTTAAAATGTTGTAATTATTTTATATTCTGCTTGTTCTGGATTCAGTGTTTAAGCAAAACTATTATTAAACATTTATTTGAATAAGAAAAGGTTTAACATTACATACTGTATCTTGAAGGAAGAGAAAACATGCAGACATTGTTGAAATTTTTCAATACATATTTAGTTTGGCCCACGACTTAGTCCCAGTTTTTAATTTTGACCCTGTGTCACTTTGAGTTTGACACCACTGACAGAGATGTGATACATGATATTTAAATGTCCAATATGTAACATTTCTGGAGGAGGTACAGATCTAGTATCTTGTATTTGTTCAATTGCTGTTGCTGTTGCTGAACACTAAATGAAGCCATATGCATTTTTACAGTAACCATGGTCTCCTCTACACAGATCTGATCTGTAACTTGACACCTGATTGGAGATATTCTAGACTAGTGGTGTCAAACTTATTTTGGTCCGGGGGCCGTACCCAACCTACTTTGATCCCAAAGGGGCCGGATCAGAAAACTCATGTCATATAAACCCCAAAAATAACAAGAAGTTCAAATATTTGTGCAGAGAAACACAAATCTATTACAGAAATCTTTTTTAATTGATGAACTTTTTTTTTTTTTTTTTTTTTACAAAATATTATAAATATTATGAACAACCTGAAACTTTAAGAACAATTAAATAACAATTTTTGTTGTAAATCCTCAACTCACACTCATGGGTGTGTCACGGTCAAAACAGTAAGAGCGTTTGGAAAGAGACAAGTCTTCATTTGTGCTGCTCTGGTGGGAGGGGCCACGTACAGAGACACTGGAGAGTGATAAACACCACAGAAAATTACCAAGATTTTAATAGAAAATATAATTCAAATATTTTAGTAGAAAATCAGCAGAGGGCCACATTAAAGGTCTTGGAGGGCCGGATCTGGCCCCCAGGCCGTATGTTTGACACCCCTGGTTTAGACAAAGCAAGAATATCTCCATGGAGACAAGCAGGTGGTTGACACTCCACCAGAAAAGTAACATGGACCTGCTTTAACAACAGAGTGAGATTAGAGTAATGTTTTTTTGAAAGGATAAACTTTGACACTTAAACCAAATAGAGACGTCAGTGGTGAGATGAATGTTTGTTTATAAGACCTAAGAAGCAGAAATGGTGAAGAGGAGGAGATGGAGAGGCTGAGGAGGCTGATGTTGCAGAGATGCAGAGATGGGGACTGGACTGATGCTGCATTTATGGAGAGAAGAAGAAGGAGGAGGAGAGAGACTTATATGAATTAGAATAGGCTTTACATGACTGACAGGTGATTAGGCAGCTGGCAGATGTAGTTGGAGGTGATTGGTGAACAGTGACAGGCAGATGATGAGACGTGTGAGTGTTTACCCCTTAGGCCTTCAGCTCTCTGTTCTTCAGAATGTTCTGTATGCAGGATGTGTGGAGGGTGATTCACCTGCTCCATATTCACCTGCTTTAAAGGAATCAAGGACACCTGTGTATTATTACGTTATCATTTAGACATTTTAAATCACTCTATTCATCTAAAACAACTTAAGAAAAAAAACATGTGCTCTGACTTGTGACTAAACATCATCACAGTAAAGAGCCGTGAAGTTGTCTATGGATCGCTGCAGGTCATACTAGGGTCTGGTCAAGTGTTAACTGAGGGAAACAGGGGCAGATTTTTGACATTCAAATGTCTCTTATTCAGAAACTAGAGGGACTATTGAAATAAGTAAAGTATCAGAATGTAGGAAAGAGTTACACTCCAACAGGGTCAAGTTAAACCTGTGATATTCTTTCAAGTTGTTGACAAAAAATTTAAAAACTCATGTCGGTAACGGAGGGAATGAAATATGCAGCACTTTTTGGTCAATAAATCCAAACAGTGATAACTCTTGGTTCTCACTTCCATATCCTTAACAAACTGGTTTGAATATTTGCTTCATATAGTTTTCTACCATATGGTACAAGATTAGGTTGAAAAACCTCTGACTTTTTGACTCATGAGATTTTTTATGAAGAAAGGTCATGGTAACGGAGGGAAAAGTAACGGAGGGAAAATTGTGCAAACAAGTAGAAGGTGCAGGATTTTACATCATTTGTCACTTTTTTCTTCTGAATACTTTAATATTACTTCAAAATGAAAGGAAACTATTTCTATAAAATATGTCAGTCCTTCCAAGCAAATTTTTATCATTTTAAATACATAAAAAAAAAAAAAAAATCATGTACCTTCATCAACAGTTCAAAGATGGAATAACACAAGATATGATGAAATACAAACATTTATTGACATGATTTGCAGGTCTTTGAAATTTGGGAAATAATTTTTGTTCCATGTTTCATACATGGTCTGTTTAAAACATATGGAACTTTAGAACCAAAAATGGTACAGAAAAAAGGTCAACAGTTTCATAAACTAGAGTACATATGTATCTGTTCAATACATTTTTATATCAGATGCTTTAACTTGAATTTTTGGCCTTGTTGTTTACTTCTGCTTGACCGGGCCCACTAGTAAAAAAAAATGAAATAAAAAAGTTCCAAAAATAACTACACAAAACTGCTGAATCCTACGTGTATCACAGATTAAGAAAATCACATTGGAGAACGGAGTGAGTACAGAGCAGTGGGCGGATGCTGGAGGCGGTGAAATTCATCAGCAATATGGTGTCAATATTACTCAAACATGCACGAATCACTCCAAATACAACTCTGAGAGGGTAAATGAGAAGGAAACGACTATAACATGATTTTAAATTCTGAAAAGTGTAGAACTTTGGGCACAAGTTCTGTTTGACCTGACCTGGACCAGATTTTTTTTTCTGTATGTCTGGGCCTGAACCATTCAAGCAACCTGAATTACAACATTTAACAACATTTTTACATTCCGTGTGGAGTTTAAGCCACTACTGGCCCCTGTGTGAAGTTGGCCCTCATCAAACACAAACCTACACAAAAGAAACATCTGTATCAGTCTTTAGTAAGTTGCTTTTGATTCATATTTTATATAATAACACAGACTTTTCCACAGCCTCAGATCGTTTCTCTTCACTAGTTCTGTGGAGTTTTGTTAAAGCCGCTGCCGTCAGATGAGCAGAAATTACATATAATTTCCACAAAAATAATAATAATAATAATGAGTCATAATTTTAGAAACAAAAATGAAATGAAAATTGTCACAGCACAAAACACCACAAATGAATTACCAACGTTTGGTATCATTTTCTGCTGTTTTGAGGCTATTTAACATTTTGAGGGGCTGGACGACGTCATCAGCCAAAAATAAAACTGTGAATGTCTTAAGAACCATAATCACACAAATGAAACTTTTTGAAGCACCAAACAGCACAAACTATTAACACCATTTTGTGTCGTTTTGGAGTATTTTGAAGCTTCCTGGGAGATGGTGACTCCAATTTGACCTATAAAAGAATCGTTAATATCTCCAAAACTAAAACAGCATAAACCAAATGTTTTGCAGCTCAAAACAGCACAAATGAAGCACAAATGATTGACATAGTTTTTGTGTAGGTTTGCGTTTGATGGGGGCCAACTTCACGCAGGTGCTACTGGCCGACTCTCTCCCTCTCTTCTTTCTTTTGCTCTTTTAGGGAGGGCATCCACGTCTCTCACCTCTTCCCTCTTCTCCTCCTCTCCTCCTCTCCTCTTTCACAAGCAAAAAACACATCACAACAATGGTGTATGATAAAGATATACTATGATATATTGATTAGACTGATAGATATGTGGCGGGGTAGAGACTAGGGATGGGCATGATTATTCGATTAATCGATAATTGATCATTAAAAATTTCATCGATTATGTTAATTTTAATCAACAAACTGAATGTAGGTTGCTGTGTGTAGTGTGACCAAACAGGTCTGTACATGTGTCTCTGCACTCAGAAGGAGCGAGACACAAACAGTCGGTCAGTCTGCGTGCCCGAAGCACAAATGTGTATTTAACGATGACTTGTACAAGAAATTCCACACTTTCTGTTGCTTTCGGGACAAGTGTGAGTCCATGTGCACAGTGTATAAAGCAGCACATATGTTTCTGTGTCCAGTGGGAAAAAGTTTTGCCAGGTGAGAGTCGCGCAATGTGGATGACGAGTCCCCACCTCCCTCCCCCCGTACGGTGTCCTGGTTTTGATAAACACAAATCTGGTCACACTAACCTGTATTCACCTGAGTCATGTCTTTTAATCCGACAGAAGTTGAACCACATCAGTGACACAAGAGCTGTAGTTTTTTATCTTCGCTTAGTTTATGCAAATTAGCGATGCAGTTTTAAGTTTTGTTTCTGTGCGAGTTGAACAAAACTGAATTAAACAAAACGGGCTGATGTGACTCTAGAGTGGTTACGGTTTATATGTCGTAAAGTTGAATTTATTTCTGCAGATTAGTAGTGCAGATAGTAATAATAATGATGATCATTTTAATATAAAAACGTTAATGATTAATCGATAATCGATCGTTAATTCTTCCGACGATCGATTAAGAAAATTTCATCGAATGCCCATCCCTAGTAGAGACTCAGGATGGAGGTTCTGTTTCAGGACTCCCAATCCTCTGTAGATGATGAGGTCTTCAGCTGAGACAGACGCGTTGTCAGGATAAGGCTTGTGTCTTCACTTCTGGTTAACTGAAGGTGTGGCAGAGCTGAGCTGTGGTTCACTGAAGAGGAGCAGGAGGAGGCTGAGGCGTGCTCCTGCTCCTGAATCTAACTCAGTCATATTAACCCCACATCAGCCACACACTTCTCTCGCCTTCTCTCCTCAGGTTGCATATTTGACCACTTTATTCATTCTGACTTGCTGAAATTCGTGTTTGGATTCAGGCCAAGAATCTACACTGTTCATTAGAGGAGGTGGTCGACTTTCGAGCTGCCAGGTTTAGGGTGAGACCAAAGAGGAGATTTATGGATGCAGTAAAAGAGGACATGGACTGAGTTGGTTTTAGAGAAGAGGTTGCAGAGATAAAGCAGTGTGATTGGTGCTGTGATCGGACCATTGGCCTGAGAACATCTGAGTAACTGATTAGAAAATGTCTCCATATGACCAAATGTTCTACTGTGTGTTTGTTTTCTCTCAGATCTGGTCACCACGGCTGGCACGAGGACTGCGAGGCGGACCAGCGCACCTTACTGCCCTCCGACCCCTCGCACCCCCCTCACCCGTCCCTCCCCCCCCCCCCTCACCCGCCTCATGGCCTGGCCCAGTCGTCCCCCTGCGTGGTCCCCCACCAGCACAGACTGAGCCTGAACCCGGACGGCTCGGGCTCCAACTGCTCCCTGTCCCACAGCCGCTCCAGGGAGAGCTTCCACAGCATGAGGAGAGCTTCTTCTGTGGACGAGATCGAAGCCATGAGGCCCGACTGGGACCGCAAGAACCGCCGAGCCAGCAGCATCAGGCCTGGTAGTACTGGTGAGGGGCAGCAGGGGGCAGGACCAAAGATCTACTAGTATATTGAGATCATTTAAAAAGGGAAAATTCTAAATATATATGCGTAGCAGTTTTAAATAGTATTGATTTAATGTAAGCGTGTACAGCTGGATGGCTCGTCATGGTCAGGACCATAGACGTCTAAAGACGTTGACTAGGGGAGTGTGACGTGACCCATAACATTTGGCTCCAGTCAATGAAGCTCACGATGCTAACAGTTACAGGAGTGAATGTGGGGCCAGTTTCATTTTAAAAGTAGAAATTTAATGGACAAAATAGCAAAATACAAACACCAGGATTATGTAGATTGTGTTAATATGATCAATAAGAATAAGATCAAAATGACAAGGCTCACAGTAGCAGTTACAGAGAGAGACAAGGCAAGTTTATTTGTACAGCACAATTCGTACACAAAGTAATTCAAAGTGCTTTACAGAATAAGAAATACATTAAAATCATAATAAAAACAAATCAAAACAATAAATAATCATGAAGATTAAAATTAAAAAAGAGAGACATAAATTGGAGAGAAGAGTGCAGAATGAAAACCTTTCAGTTATATGCACAGTTAAACAGAAATGTTTTGAGTCTGGATTTAAACAGCGTCACAGAAGAGTCTGTCTCACATGTTCAGACTGTTCCAGGTTTTAGCTGCATGAACCTGAAACTCTGACTCCCCTTGTTTAGTCGTGACTCTGGGCAGCAGCAGGAGGCCGGTCCCTGAGGTCCTCAGAGTGTGAGATGGTTCATATGACACTAACATGTCACAGATGGACTTTGGTGCTCGGCCATGGAGACACTTGTACAAGCAGAGCTGCTTTAAAGTCTCTGAGCCACAGGAGCCAGAGCAGAGACCTGAGCACAGGACACATGTGCTCGTACTTCCTAGTTCGAGTCAGGACCCGAGCTGCAGTGTTCTGGATGTTCTGGATGTTCTGGATGTTCTGGATGTTCTGGATGTTCTGCAGCGTCTCACAGCTCTTTTGGAGAGACCAGTGAGCAGAACATTACAGTATCTAATCTACTGGAGACAAACGCATGGATAAGTTTCTCCAAGTCTGATTTAGACAGTAAACCTTTGATTTTTGACATGTTTTTCAGATGGTAAAAGGCTGCAGATGTTATTGATTTGATGTGGCTGTTAAAGTGGCTGAGAGAGGTGTTTACTTCCTATTTGAAACAAGGCGGCTAGCAAGTTAGCTATGTATGTCCATTAATATATACAGGATGACCTCAGATGGACGATTGTATTTATTGAGCATGATTTAGGTTGATGGGGGAAACCCAAACACAGGAAGAACATCCAAACTCCACACAGAAAAGCAGAAGCACTCTAGGCCTTGAACCTGGAACCTTCTTGCTGTGAGGTGTGTTAGCCTCAGTCTCTATACAACAGAACCAAGTTCTAGTAGTTTAGTTTGAAACCCAAAACCTCCACTTGGTTTGTAAACAATGAACTGACTGCACCACTGTAGCCTTGTGCTTATAGTTCTCTTTATACTCTCAAAGTAGTTTTCAGTATGTGTTCATCTAAAATCGGGATTACTGGAGATAGTTTGGACTGTAGGTGATGGACTGGGGTAATGTTACTTCATTCAAACTATATTTGAGTCAGAGACTTAAAGAGGAGACTTGAATAGTTTTACAGAGCTTTAATGTTCTTTTTAGTTTTCTTTATACAAATATTATTTCAAACATTATATCAAAGTACTTTTCAGTGCTAATTTTAAATCTGTAATGGGCCTTTTCTCAGTTATAAGTTGAAATAATGATAAAGTAATGATTTAAAAGGGTGATACTTAGTCCTCTGATTAACAAGAACCTAGGAATCCACATATAAACAGAACCACAAATCTTGTAATGACGTTACAGCGAAAGCATTAAAGGATCCATATTACACTATGTTCTGATGATCTGGTTGTAATGTTTCCTCATCACAAACAGACCTGGAGTCGTGTTGTGTTTCATTCACACATGTTTAACACACAAGCCCTGCACATTTAGGCTTCTGAGTTCTTTTCGCAAACTGACAACACTCTGTTCCACCTTGTGATGTCACGTGATAATACAGGAAATGCTCCACTGTGTTTTATAACTCCTTACACCTTCACTGGGATCATCTGGATGACTTCAGCCCTGGAATTGGCAATCTATACACAATTAAAGGAGCTGTTAACTTGAAAACTACCACTTCATGACATCACAAGGTGTGACAGAGCATTTGGAGCTTTGGAGATTTGAAGACTAATAATTAAAAGTTACTCAAACATGTGTGAATGAAACAAAACACAACTTAAGGTAAGTTTTTGGTGAGGTCACAGCATTATAACATGACTTAAAGTTGCATTGTGTTATTGTATTGTGTTATGTATTGGTTGGTGGTCCTGTCAATCACCTGCTTGTTTCTATGGAGATGTCATTGCTCTGCCTGGAATGTTCCACAGTGTGACATTACATAGCTTTACTTTACATTTATTCAGTTACAGGTGGTTTTAGAGCTCAAAACTACCTAGAAAACAAACATTGTGACTGTGAGCGAGGTTGTTTCTCCACAGATCTGACCTGTAACTTGGTCTGGTTTGGTCTCCATGAAGACAGAAAGGTTTAATGCCATACTGTGAAACATTCCAAACAAAGCAATAGAGAAAAGCGTTTGATGGATCCTCACAATTCATCTTTCTCACAAAAGTCAAAATGTAGGAACTCAAAAATAAATAGAACTTTAAATCTAGTCTTGTAGTGATGTTAAAGTGAGCGCATTGATAACTTCTGTTTGTTTGTTCCAGGTGCGGTGAACAGTAAATCCAACATTCTAAACTCCACGTCGGACTCAGACCTGATGAGGTACAGAGCCATCTCCAAGATCCCTCAGATCACCCTCAACTTTGTGGACTTCAAACCGGACCCTCTGATCACGCTGCCCACTGGAGAGATGGACATCATCGCTCCATGCAAACTCATCGACCGCACCCACAACGTCACCGAGAAGGTCACCCAGGTAAGAGCTGCCTCGCCTGGGCTCTGCTGGTGTTCAGAGAACGTGAAGAAGTGTGGAGCTGGTTCTGTTGAATGGAAGTTTAGACTTTGTTTTGATTGAGGACTTTGGCTAGAACCTTGACCTAGAAGCTGGTTTCATGCATTTTGTGGAGATGTTTGCTTCTGAGGACCAACTATCTATGGTTATTGTTGGAACTTGTCGCTATATATGGATTTTTATATTTGTGTTGTCATCTTTTTGGTGGTCAAGTCGTATTTTTAGGATTCATTGGTCAGACGGTTTCATCTGACATTCAAAACAGACATTTCACAGCAATATTTTACATGTTCTTATGTACATGAAGAAAACATCTCATCACCACATCAACCATCACAAACACAATAAGAAAAAGAGACATTAGTAGAGTGACCAGACGTCTCTATTTACTCGGGACAGTCCCAGTTTTGAGCCCTGTGTCCCCTGTTCCAGCAGATTTATCCAAAACCACTGACTTGTCCCAGTTTTATACAACAAAAGTCCCAGGTGTCCATATTTTTGACAAATCTGATCCCTGACAACAGTAAAGAGAGATATAAATTGACATTTGTTTTGGTAAAATACAGAAAAGCTGCTGAAAAAAGACTAAAACACAAAGAAAATGTGACCATATCAACTCACATGTTAGTCATGAATGGACCAAGTGTGGAATATTTTTTCTTAATTGTGCCCTTGTTTTACAATTTTATTATTACCAGCCATCATAAACCAAGGGGTGTCCCAGTTTTTGAGTTTGAAAATCTGATCCCCCTAACCAGTGTTTCTAATACCTTTAAATATAGATCTATACAACTGGATTGACTGAACTGACAATGAAATTACAATGTGAAACAATATAAAGCCTACCTACAGTATATAGGGCGATCAGGAGTCCCTATTTACCAGGGATAGTCCCTGTTTTGAGCCCTGTGTCCCCAGTCCCAGCAGATTTATCCAAAACCAGTGATTTGTCCCAGTTTTATACAAGCAAACTACAAAGCCGCACCACCCACAGACACACTCATCACTCCACGCCGACGAGGAACGGAATGGAGGAACGAACCAAAAAAGCGAGTGCAATGTGCCACTTCTAGACACAACTGAACAACTGAGTCACTGTGAACACGCCGACAATCCGTTGGTCCCAGACACACCCTCCCTACACGCCACAACTGAACAAAGCCCAGAGTCACCGTGAACACCACAAACAAACAAAACCACTCACCCATCACACTGTTGGGTTTCCTTTAAAGTCCCACGCGGTTTATTTGTGAAAAAAGTTCAAAAATAGACCATTTCATGACAGTGTGTCTTATAATCCAGAGCGACTAATCGCCCGGAAAATACAGTAAATGCAACAAAATACTACCCACCTCTGCCAGTGGAGTCATTTTTATTTGTCAATCACAATTTGAATGCTCTACACTTCTCTATATTCTGCATGTAGTTGCTGAAAGTCGTCAGAAATATCCCCAGGAAAATACATTAACAAACTTTATGTGACAAAAACTGCTCTCTGTACTCTCTGATTTGGTCATGTATTTCTTTTCTGTGTGTCCAATAACCGGTCTGTGGACACTATAGACGTGTGTGTGTGTGTGCGTGCGTGTGTGTGTGTGTGTGTGTGTGTGTGTGTGGGCTTAGAACATAAAGAGGTTAACATGAGCTTTAGTGTTTGCATAACTCATAACGGGTCTGCTCTCTGAAGACAAAGACAACAACTTATGGGAGCAAAAATAGATCTTAATCTGTGTGTTTACCGTTGCTCTTCACTGTGACCCGCTGTAGCACATCACTCTGAAAGAATCATGATGTCGACGCAGTGTGACACAAACACACAACAGCACTGTGCAGACTTTAAAGTGGATCGAAATCAAACTAGGGCTGGAGTCGACTAAAATAATTCTTCGTCAGACTATTAAATTTCTCTATGATCAGAGCAGATATCAGACCCAAAGTGCACTGATACACAATTACACAGGAGTTCACACAATAATAAACATTTACACACGTGACTCTGGGCTTTGTTCAGTTGTGGCGTGTAGGGAGGGTGTGTCTGGGACCGCTGGATTGTTGACGTGTTCACAGTGACTCAGTTGTTCAGTTGTGTCTAGAAGTGGCATGTTGCACTCGCTTTTTCGGTTCGTTCCTCCGTTCAGTTCCTCGTCGGCGTGGAGTGATGAGTGTGTCTGTGGGTGTGTTTCGCTGTGTGGTCGTTGTCTGCTCCGTGTGTGTTTGTGTGTTCTGTGGGTGGTGCGGCTTTGTAGTTTACTGAAGTCGTGCTGGATTATCGTATATGTCTGTGTGGCGCGCAGTTGTTTTTTGATGGGGTTGGAGGCTTAAGAGCGTGTACTATTCTAGCAGCTTTTTCTACGGCTTCAGTAATATATTGTTCAGTGTAACACTTCTCCAACTGTAGTAAAAGTTTTGGTTCCTCTTCCCAAGTGGCTGTACCTCCTTCAGATGGGATTTAGGGTCTGTTTACATGAGAACGCTTGTGGCTAAAAACAACTAAATATTTTATGGGAAGTCCATCCATCCATCCATTTTCGTCCGCTTATCCGGGGCCGGGTCGCGGGGGGAGCAGCCTAAGCAGGGACTCCCAGACTTCCCTCACCCCAGACACGTCCTCCAGCTCCTCCGGGGGGACCCCGAGGCGTTCCCAGGCCAGCCGAGAGACATAGTCCCTCCAGCGTGTCCTGGGTCTTCCCCGGGGCCTCCTCCCGGCGGGACATGCCCGGAACACCTCCCGAGGGAGGCGCCCAGGAGGCATCCGGAAACAGATGCCCGAGCCACCTCAACTGGCTCCTCTCGACGTGGAGGAGCAGCGGCTCTACTCCGAGCTCCTCCCGTGTGACTGAGCTCCTCACCCTATCTCTAAGGGAGCGCCCAGCCACCCTGCGGAGGAAACTCATTTCGAGCGCTTGTATCCGCGATCTCGTCCTTTCGGTCACTACCCAGAGCTCATGACCATAGGTGAGAGTAGGAACGAAGACTGACCGGTAAATCGAGAGCTTCGCCTTTCGACTCAGCTCCCTCTTCACCACAACGGTCCGATACAGCGACCGCATCACTGCCGAAGCTGCACCGATCCGCCTGTCAATCTCACGTTCCGTCCTTCCCTCACTCGTGAACAAGACCCCGAGATACTTGAACTCCTCCACTTGAGGCAAAGACTCCCCACCCACCCGGAGAGGGCAAGCCACCTTTTTCCGGTCGAGAACCATGGCCTCGGACTTGGAAGAGCTGATCTTCATCCCAGCCGCTTCACACTCGGCTGCAAACCGCCCCAGTGCACATTGCAGGTCCTGGTTCGATGAAGCCAACAGGACAACATCGTCCGCAAACAGCAGAGATGAAATCCTGTGGTCCCCAAACCGGACCCCCTCCGGCCCCTGACTGCGCCTAGAAATTCTGTCCATAAATACAATGAACAGAACCGGTGACAAAGGGCAGCCCTGGCGGAGTCCAACATGCACCGGGAACAGGTCTGACTTACTGCCGGCAATGCGAACACAGCTCCTGCTCCGGTCATACAGGGACCGGACAGCCCTTAGCAAAGGGCCCCGGACCCCATACTCCCAGAGCACCCCCCACAGGACACCACGAGGGACACGGTCGAATGCCTTCTCCAGATCCACAAAACACATGTGGACTGGTTGGGCAAACTCCCATGAACCCTCGAGCACCCGATGGAGAGTGTAGAGCTGGTCCAGTGTTCCACGGCCAGGACGAAAACCACACTGCTCCTCCTGAATCCGAGGTTCGACTATCGGCCGGATTCTCCTCTCCAGTACCCTGGCATAGACCTTACCGGGAAGGCTGAGAAGTGTGATCCCCCTATAGTTGGAACACACCCTCCGGTCCCCCTTCTTATACAGAGGGACCACCACCCCGGTTTGCCAGTCCAGAGGTACTGTCCCCGACCGCCACGCGATGTTGAAGAGGCGTGTCAGCCAAGACAGCCCCACAACATCCAGAGACTTCAGGTACTCAGGACGGATCTCATCCAACCCCGGAGCCTTGCCACCAAGGAGCTTGCCAACCACCTCAGTGACTTCGGCCAGGGTGATGGATGAGTCCGCCTCCGAGTCCCCAGCCTCGGCCTCCTCCTCGGAGGACGTGACGGTGGGATTGAGGAGATCCTCAAAGTATTCCTTCCACCGCCGGACAACGTCCCCAGTCGAGGTCAGCAGCTCTCCCCCCGCACTGTAAACAGTGTTGGTGAAGAACTGCTTTCCCCTCCTGAGGCGCCGGACGGTTTGCCAGAATCTCTTTGAGGCCGTCCGATAGTCCTTCTCCATGGCCTCCCCGAACTCCTCCTTTATGGGAAGTGCCTTTCATTTTTATTTATTTATTTTAAATTTGTATTTATTTATTTATTTATTTAAAAATAGGGACAAAACACATTAATGAACATATACATGATATGTAAATATGTTATCAGATTATAGCCCAAGGCTAATTTCCATCTGCTGCCCTGGACAGGTTGATGTAATCATAAAACAAACACACACAGTAAAAACAACACACCCAGACACACAATACAACAATACAAACAGACACAAAGAGCTGGTCAGTCACAAGAGCACAGACACAGGTCAACCAAAGGACGTTAGATTATTTGATCAGAATTGCACGCTGCCCTGTTTAGTTAAAGTGCCAGTGTACAGGTATTGCACACAGCCCATTGCTAAAATTATTATCATATAAAGTGCTTTTCTACAATGTATTGCACGTGCCCTCAAAGATAAAACTCTTAAATATATTGCATATTGCCCATAAGTACAATATTAAAATACTTAATAAATAGTATATTAATTTAGACGGTGACCACGTTTTGGGGGCTTAAAAACACAAAAATCTGAAACCAGTGGAAAAGTTGAATACTCTCTGCCGTAGCATTTCTGTCTACACTGCTCAAGACGCAAAACTCTAGTCAGATCTGCTCATGTCGCGTACGTGTTTATGTCACATACATCACC